CTACCGTTCTCCTTTCCACTCTCCGTCCCTCTCCCTCCATCACCCACCCCGTCATCGCTTTCTCCCTTCCTCGGTCTCACCCTCTATCCACCTTCTTTTTATTCTTCCACGTTCTTTCTTTCTTTCTTTTTTTTTCTTCTGCTTTACTGTTCTCCCGGTTGCCCTCGAGTTCCGACTTTTGGCGCTCGTCGGACGCCTCCGCCCGCTCTGAGGATCTCTTTAGTAAGATGGTCGCTCGCTCTTTATTCTCCCGCTTATTCGACTTTCTCGGCGTTCGGAGAAAGAATTCAGAGGCTTTAACGATTCTCGACCCCCCGACCCACGGAACGTCGAGGTGCTTGGCCCGGGACTTAAAGGATGAGGCGCGATTCGCAAAACCGGAAAGTATCCTCTCCTATCCGAGATCTCCGGGACGATTCGGCTTCCGCGTTTACTTCCTCCGACCGGGGCGCGATTGTCTCGCCGCGATTCTTGAAACACGGTCTCCGAGATGGAAATTGAGTGGAAATGTCGAGTCACGTGAAGACTCCAAGTATTAGGTTAAATGACTATTTTCGTAAACCCCGATATTCAGTAGAAATGAATTTGTATAATTTTTCGTATATAACCATTCGCTTGTTAGAGTATCGAAGAAAGTTAAGCCTTGCACTGAAAATATAAACATTTGTAAAACATCTAACATTAATCGTTTCAGAAAAGGAAAACATCGGTCAGAAACTTTTAGCTGACGGTGTAGTAATTTCAATCGACAAAGATTTGATCAATTGCGGAGATATTCCGTGTTCGAAAGACTAATTCAAGTATTTCAGAAAAATCGCCGCGTGCTTATGATTCAGTCCAATAAATCCAGGGACGTGAGGCGCACGGAACAAATTAATTAATCGATCCTGCGCGGCTTCTTCGTGGTGCAGTGGAAGGATATCGCGGCGATGGCGGCGACAGCGGTGGTGGCGAGCCGGGCAAAAGGCACCGCGACAAATCGTTGATCAGATAGAGAGGCGACTGTAGTTCTACGGCTACACAACCGCGGCGGCAGTGGCGTAACTACAACGAGACGTGACACCTGCGCGGGTCCCACACCGATGCGGATCTACCGTAGGCGCAACCGGTCGTAATGCTGATTTAATTTCAGCCGCGAGAGATCGGAATCGTAGATGTCGTGCTTTTTCGGTGCCACTTAATGGCCACTTGACACACACGCGTGCACACGCACGCGGGCCTCGGAGCGCCGGCCTATCGCAGGTGTGTGCGCCAGCGTCAAACGTTTGCTCGTTTCGTCAAATAGAATTAGCCCCGCAATGACTTCGTCGAGCCGCTATCCGGCCCACGTGCGCGTACACCAAGAACACCGATTACTATCGCGCCAGCGAGAATAAATTTGACTGAATTCGGCCACGTCCGGGCTGCCGTGTGTCGAAAGATTTCTATCGTCCAGCGATCCTCGTAGTCGCGTTTCTCACCCCTTAACTGATCGCGCGGCCTCCTACGTCCGAAAATATTTCATGCGAGATGAATGTCGCGTTCGTCGACACGGGGACGCGTATGAAACGAAATATCGGTGAAAAAAAGGGGACGAGACGGAGGAACGAGCGGCGAACCGACGGTTTTCCCGGAGGAAAGTGATTATGAGTGATACGTGGCAATATCCACCCCAGCCGTCGGGCAGAAATTCACTTGCCGGGGAAATTAAAAACAGTCATCCGAGGCTGGGCCCCGCTAATGGCGGGCATCGTTCATGTCAATATGGGCCATTGCCCGTATTACCATATTACGTTTAGGAAAGCCCCCACGGCCCCATACTCGCCGGGTATTGCTTATAAATACCAGCAATTACAAAACCGGGGGTGGTTCGCCCGCCTGCCCGTCCTTCGTCCTCTTGCCGGCTAGATGGAAACTCGATTATATATGGTAGGCAGTCAAGCCTCCCTCCCTCGCAATCGCATTAACGCTCAGGGTTTATCTGGGCATGTTTTTTATCTTCCAGCGTGTATCCTCGAGGACCGCGGAGTGTCGCCGTAGTTCCTCGTCGTTCGGCCCAGGGCTCTCCTCTACCCGGGATTTATAAAATTTCATTTGTCCCGAACCCGCTTCGCGTCGGTCCAATTTTAAGCAACCGCCCCACGGAATTGCTGGCTAACTAATACCCCCGAGGCGGAAATCGAGAAAATTGCTCGGAGAACGTGATCGAGTGGTAATCGGGCCGATTTTTTACGTGGCGATGAGACGCGGACGCGTCTCTCCACACCTCTCTTTCTCTTCGTCATCCCTTTCTCCCGACGGACCTGCGGGCACGCCGGGCAAACACGAAACGATTAGCGTATATTCGGTGGGCGGAGGGAGAAAGGGGTTGATCGTGCCGCGGTGATCAGTCAGACAAGAAAAATATCGCTCTATACGTGACTATTTATTCTCGAATAACATCGAGCCGATTTCGGTACGGCTCGCTGGAACGAGCGAGCATTAATGCAAGAACGGCACGTGCGGCCTCAAGACTTCCGATCAATTAACTCCGCTTTCAATTCGCGGCGAGCGGGGCCCAGTTTTCCTGCCGCTTACTTGTTAGCAGCAGAACAACCACCGTCCCACCCGTCCGTCCCGCCTCTTTACCCTCCTTCGGCAATAGTTCACCACCCCACGGAGTTCTTTCTCTTTCTCCTACGCGGGTCGTTTCCACGTAGCACGCGAGATGCTACCCTCTTCGGCACCCTTCGGGGAAGAGGATCGAAGCATATTGACGGGTCGACGGCGTTCGACCGTGGCACGATACACGAGTTCGAGGGTGCTCGAGGGATGCAATAGTAAATATTAAAGCACGCCGCGGAGTCATTGGGGCGGTAATGGGTGTCGCCCAGCCGAGTAGGCATATAAGTCCCCGACGGGCGCATACCTGATGATTGCGGGTAGATGGAACGAGACGGCGATTTGACAGGCATGGGAAACACTCGAAAATTTCGTGTGGCGTAGACCCTCTCGAGCGGACTCGTTTTCGAGTACGCTCATGGGAGAAAAAATATTTTCTGGCATGAACAAAGCTCGACGAGAGTCGCGTGTATATACTCTGCCTGTGTTCCGCGCTCTTACCGCGCAATTGTGTTTCGTTGAAAATGTCATCGAGCTTAGAGTATCCTCGTTATCGTGAATAAATATCGTATTGCGGGATATACATATGAACCTCTACGACGTTCCCGTTCCGCGTGGTGCCGTGCCGCGTCGTGCCGCGGCTTACTCCATGGAAAAGTGTCCGCGCGCAACCGGCGGCCCTGCATTACCATTATGGCCCGATACTCTATGAAAGCCTAATAGCTTTTTATACCGTGTACAGTGCACTGTACGCGCGGCACTCGTGCACGTTGCGAAGAAAAGAGGAAGGTGGAGAGGTTCGGCCGCGATCGGTCGCACCGACCGCCACTGACACCGCAACGTAAGCCAACCACACCGATCCTTCGCCGACCAATTACAACTGGTTTCGTAATTTTTCTTCTAGCTCCGCGCCGAGATCGATGAAACACGATATTATTATTACCATCGACAGTGACTAAGTGCCGTGCCATAATGCGACCGCGTGCGGCACGCGTGCTTCCCCGGTAGACACGCAGGTAGACACGCGCGGTATTGCGTAAAAAGACCGTAATAACGGCGCACGTCTCGCAGTGCGGGGCCCGTGTAAACTTTACAAAATATCTCACCGGGAGGGGCCACTCGTCGTTCTCTCCTCGGAACGCGCGGCCGATAAATGAATCAGAAAATAACGGCGGGAGCTTCGCACACGTGGCGGGTCACGTGTTAGATAATTAGATATTCTTTAGGCGGTGCATTAGTTCGCGCTCCGTATTCCATTAGACTCGGAGGAACGTTGCGGCGATAGAAACCGACTCCCCCGCAGACGCCCTCTCGCCAAACGGACGCCTGTGCCCGGATTCGCACCGGGTTTCCTTTATATTAATCGCCGACGAATTTAACGGCCGTATAGCGTGCGGCCACGATTCACGAATGTCGTTTCAGTTGGCCGGACTTCTCTGGGTCTCATCTCCGGATCGGAAGTCACGGCCACGCCCCTCGAGACATTCCTCTCGCCCAAGGAACCGGCCGGAAATTAATTATTGGCCCGGGGAACCCGTCGAACAGTGGAACGTGAGAAGTTGAACGACCCGTGTTACGTTCTATCGAAACACGTAGATCGATGGTTATATACGTTTGTTTGGCCGGCAATTTTACGAGCTATCGTCCTCGGCGACGACCCGAGAGGGTGAATTAATCGACCAGCGAATAGTTTACGTTCTATTCTGTGTGGAGAGGAAGCCGAAGTTTTGGTGCTCGAACGACGGAACCGTGATTGTCTTGTTCTTTGGGTGTATGTAGCTTTGGCGATAATAGTTTTATTGTGCATACATTGATTTGCAGTTTGGCCCGTGAGATTTCTGTGAAATTAAACGGTTGCTGGAAAATTGAATATAGTTACTGTTAATCGGTTGTTAGAAAATATCCTGGTGTAACTGTTTCTTGTCGCTTGTACATGTCGACGAAGTAATTTCTTAAACCGGCGACTCTATTAATATCCTAAATGGGATTTTGATTTATCGTCGGACCCTTAATACGATTTTAAGGCTCGATGTTTGGGTCGTCTACACGCGATCTGAAAAGATTGCTTGACTGACAGAATCTTCATTCCTGCACCCTTGCATTCACGTCGGAGCGGTCGGACCATTTTTAAACCGTATTGTGACTGGTGACGAGAAATGGGCTCCGTGAATCGATACAAAGCGGAAAAGGTATTGGTATCTCGAAAGGTAAGACCCGGATAACAATAGCAACCGTCTGAGCTGCGCTAAGAGAAGATTAAGTTGTATCGTTGGCAGGGCATTAAACGCGCGGTGTATTATAAACTGTTAAAACCCGGAGAAAACCATTAATTCCGAAGACTATCGTCAACGGTAACAGTGTATCTCGCGCGGCAATGAATGCGCGAAGGGATTGAAAGACAAGATTTAAAAGAGTCTCACCTTTGTCGTTCGTTCAGCTGTGGCAATGAAATATGCGACGATCATGGTCGAACTTTTCGTGTGTCGAACCCATCGCAACTTCTGAAAATAATACAGAATACACCGAATACATCATCAAATTTATACGACGAAACAAATATACGAAACTAAAAAACATAAGAAGCGAAGAAAACTTATCAAATGATTCGAGGTAACGAAATTCAAACTTCCCCATCCCACGTACGTTTCACACAGTGATTTCGAGAAATAAACAAATTCCGGTAGTGTTTCGACCAAACCAGTTCCGATTATTACAAAATCTGCAATTATCGTTATCGGTTATACTGCAATTTCGGTGGACGATAAACGACAAAGGCTGGCGGCGCAACGGCTCGAGGAATGCGTGACGATTATGTATTCGGCGGGAACGACGAGGCGGGGAGAACTCTCCGCTCGGAGCGTTAGCGATCCCGTTGCCGTAGTTAAACGGAAGCGATACAGATTAAACAGCCGGCGGATCGAGCAAATTTCAGCGTAACGGTGTAAAATGGTATTTTGTAATGCGCACCGCGGCGCGGCGCGCCTCCGACTCCAAGATTAATGCATCCCGGGCTTTACATTTTATTGGCTCGCGTGGTTCGACTCTCGTTCACGTTTATACGCGCATAAATGGAGGCGTTAAACCGACTGCCTGACAAGTCTGATAATTGCCCAGCGCGTAAAACCCGTTACGAGGCTTGTTTGTCAGTTTCGCAAACGCGTATCGCTGGTTCCTCGCACGGTCTCCTTTTTCTGGTGCTTCCCGCCGGTGACGCTCGACTTCGAACGACATGGAAACTTCCATCGTTCGCTGAAACTTCCGGCCGGTACACTATCTCGCGTGGAAAAAGTAGTGAAAAGGGGAAAGAAAGTTTACAGAAGACCGCGTCGTTACGAGATCCGAGCGAATCACTCAGCAACTCGTCGTCGTTTACGAATGAGCGCGCTCCAGACGCGTACTTCGCGTTTCCTCACGCGAGTCAATAAATTTTCATTAATTAACGACGCGTCGGAAACTTGTTGGAGCATCATTCGCGTATTGAATACCGCCAGGGAAGGCTTGCTTCTCTCGGAACGCGAAATGTCGATTTAGGCGTTCCAATTTGTGTATTGTGAGTATACCAGAGTTGGCGATGTTGGAAGTACCGTTTACGCGCGTGAATGAATAAATTGAGTAATTACGTGTCGATCGATTAAATTACTGTAATAATCACTTTAGTAATCACTTTACTGCAATTGAAATTTATTTACCTGTTCGGTAGAGCGCTACAAATATTATAAATTACCTACAAATTTCTAATAAAGCGTTATTGGTCAACGACACCGAGATAACAGCTGATGAAATAATTTATCCACTAGAACATTACAATAATCAGTCGTTAGATTTCACTTCTCTGTCTAAAACCTGTAGCTCCGGGTGATCGACACGATTAAATTTTGATCGACAAATTCGACGTGTAACTGCTGTCGCGTGGCAGTGACGTCACGAAGATGAATGTTTACGCGTAGGATACGTGATACGCGAGACACGACGCACCGAGCGTGTTCGCCTCCTAAACGTGTTATTTTCAACCGATGAGGATAGCACACGTCAATTTGGTCCCGCGACATTTACAGTTCGATTATCCTGTCTGTCATAATGACCAATTACATACTACTGTTTCTCGGATCTATCTCCAGGCCGTCGTGTACGATGAACACACGATCGACGGCAAATTACACACGCACGTAATACCGGGACAAGTAATTACCGACAGATTACCGCTCGTGACGCAACGGAGATCGTGCCTTTTCTCGTCCCATTACACGTCGCATTCCATTTTACGATCGCGAGAAATTCATATAAACGACGGCCGATTAGCGAGCGCGTTCTGCTCGTTTCGGTCACCGATGCGTCATTGAAAAACTTAATAAACCCCATTAAACAAACTGTTCCATGTAAATACAATATGAATAATTTTCAAAATTATCCGCAACGGAAACGACGTTTATAATGAATCGAAGAGAATTCTCGTTTAGAACCAGGGGGTAACGAAATTTTAATCCAGGGAAAAAGAGAATATATCAAACCATACGCACCGAAATTTTCACGGATAGGAGTCTAATCGTTTCCTTCAAATATCGCGAACGGGGGATGAAAACATTAACGTACCGTATTTTCTGACATAGAATCGCATTAAGGGGGTTGAAGAGTGCGGTCGCGAAGATACGAATCTGAATTCACCCCATCTCCCGCGATACACCTCGCAAGGGTTAAAGAAGTGCCAGGACATTAAGCGAAAGCGAGCGAGAAGGGTTAGTTCCTGGTTAACCGCATCGGTCCCCGTTCCTTTCGCTGGAATAACGCGACCCTCCCACCACCGCCAAGTGATTAAAAACAATTACCGTTTCGTCGGCATCCGTCCCCGCTTTCCTCCCTCCCCGTAATGAGCGTCCTCTTCCTAGGGCACGGAAGAGGGACGAGAGAGAGAAGAAAAAAAAAGTATACGGAACGGTCGAGCATCTGAGCCCCTGCGGGTTATAGTTGGTCGAATATTCCCGGCTCACCCCCTCGCTGTCATTTCCGCGGGTACATTTCTATGAAAATATTTCGCCCGTCCATAGGTAGGGTTAGAAATCCGGCACGGATCCCGCCGTATATATCCCGGGAGCACGGGTTCTCGGGGGTGGCGAGCCGTGTACAACAAGGGGTGAAGCCCCGACAACTCGCCAGGACGGAGGGATGATTTTCGCGCTAAATCACGGAATAACTTGGCCATGGCTCGACCATGCTACGTCGCATCCGTGAAATGGACCGGCTTCTCGGAGCTTCGAGAAACATCGGATTCCTCGAGGCCGTCGAAAGTCTGGACGTAGCTAATTAGCGATCAACTCGAGTCTAGTTTCACACAATCACGATCAACAAAGTTCCAACGTAACGTATCCTAACCTATTGTTGTCCATTTCCAGGACGATTCCCAGACGAAACTCAACAAGTTCGTCCATCGTTATTCGCGGCAGGTGATGCAGCTGCTTCTGGGTCCATTAACCCCGGTTCCTAGGGCACGTCAACGTGCGGCGCTCTCGATGTTGCTAGAAATGGCGCGCCCTATCGACGGCGCTTCATCTCCCACTGGAACGTTATTTTAATTTATATACGCAGTGATTTTTATTACGACACTTCCGCCGGAGCGTAACCGTGCCGGGCCGGTCTGCCATTCGAATAGAACGAAGCGAAGCAATTTTTACGAGCAGCATAACTCCTCTAACGGTATGAAATATTTCCCCGAGCGCGTTATTTTGACGAGTTTTATTCAATTTTGCGAGTGAACGAACTGCCCCACGAGTGTTCTGTTAAAGAAAGAAAGAGAGAGACGAAGGGTGAAAGCTTCATTTCCAATGGAGCATTGTCGGAGAACGACACGCGGGTACTACAGGCCGGTGCTCGGCGATCACTCCGCCATATTAAAGTCGCGCACGTTCGCACGGAGAATTTCTCAACCGGTCGCGCGCTGTTTACAACGGCCTGAGTTCGATGCTTCTCCATTAGACCGCGATTGCAGGGGAAACACGGTGTTTGTTGGGCGTTTACATCCGTGCGTGGGGTAAACGCATTACCCGTCTATTTCCCGCACAAAGCGGAAAACGACGCTTGTTCGCTACTTGGTCCGGGGAAAATTGCAATAATGTTGAAGCGGTTACGCGTCAGCCGCTGCTTCAATTTTTCCCTGCAACCTCCCAGCGGTTTTGAAGTACAAAGGAGGCGAAGTATAAAACGAAGCCCCGTAAACTGTCCGCGTAAAACTACGGAAACGCGGTACCGCTCAACGTGGCTGCTTTGTTCCACAGTGGAATTTAATTCGTCTCCCGAACGTATTCCATTAAGCCGCAGCTCTTGTTTAACGGGAAAGGTTTGCGATCGTTTCTTGCCAAGACGAGGAGAATCGCTTCCGCCGGGACCTGGCCGAAGGGGTGGGCGGCGGACTTCTTTTCAATTCCCGTTGAACCGTCTGCCTCGGCTCGATCAATCGCACTTGGCGCAATTAAATTTCTTTAACGAGACCGTGCGCGGCTGGTCTCCACGAAATGAACGAATTCGAGCGGGCCTCCTCCGGCCGCATAGATTAAAATCGGTTTAGCTCGGTTGCCGCCCCATCATCCCCCGGACGCCTCCCGTTCTCTTTTTCGCGGGGTTTCCGCGCCGTTTCGAATTTCCGGGCATCCGCACCCCCGCAATATCGTAAGTAATTAAACAATTTGCCTACAGATGGAGTTTTTAGCCGAAGCATTTCGCGCTTACCGCCTCGCTTCGGTCCTCTCTCATCACTATGCATAACCGCATTGCTCCTATATTAAAGCCGCCGACAGAGAGCGAAACTGAGGGAGAGAGAGAGAGAACGGCGAGCGTCGCTAAAATGCTCGCGTGATTAAAAATGCTGTCGCGGAAATTCCGACATCCGCAGAATGTCAGGCGCAACTGGCCTGCGGGGGTGATACCCGGTCCTCTCCGCAACGTTCTCGCACGTCGACAACCTGTCGCGCTCTTACACGCGCCCGACGCTCTCTCCACGCTCGAGTAATTAATCGTGAAAAGCCACACGCGTGCCTCGCGAGACTGCCACGCTGAATTGCCCTCTCGCCCGTGGCTACGTCGATCTCGCAGGATTCCGCGGACATTTCAGCAAGATGAACCATTTGACGAAATTTCGGGGAATGTAGCTTTGTTTCTTTCACGTTATATTCATCGATAAGATGAATCGATACTTCGTATGTTTTAATGAATAAGAAAAAGTAAGGCGAACTGAAGAAAATGGAGTATAACGGTAGGTTGAAGGAAATCATAATCCGAGTGACATTTATAGCAACTATTCAGGTCATCATAGAATTAATAGTAACTGCAACTACATATATTGTGTATGGTCAACAAAACATTCTATTGCATTGTATTGAATCTGTTTGAATTAGGGACATTAGTTCTAATTGCAACGGGATCGAGGAGGACGTTAATTTCGGTGAAAAAGTTCACAAGTGTGAAACGACTTACCGAGTAGACACGTTTTTCCGCGAGTAATAAACGCAAGATA